TCAATGTCTATAAAGTCTCTCTCTGGAGAGGTGATTATATAACAACAGTGATAATGATAATAATGAGGATAAATAATAATAGCAATAACGATGGTAATATTAATAATAATAATAACAGTAACAATGATAACAATCATCATCATCATCATCATCATAATAAAAACAACAATAACAACAATAATGATAATTATAACAATAATGACAATAAAAGTAATAATTGCAAGGATAATAATATCGGTAACGATATTACTGATAAACACAACAATGATGATAATTATCAATAAGAAAAAAAGCACAATCGAAATGATACTAGTCATATTTAAAACAATACCGTAAATAACAATAACAATAGTAAACATATAAAAAAATAAACTGATTATGATAACATCTATGCTGAAATAGTGGCATTGATAATAAAAAGAAAAAAATGGTAATAGTAATGATTATGATGAAAATGATTTTGATTATCATTATCATTATTATCAATACTATTACCTTTATCGATTATTTATCTTCATTATTAGTATTATTAACGTTATTGTCATTATTTTTATTGTTACCAGTATTATTATCATTTTTACTGTTATTATCGTTGTTTTTGTTCTTGCTATTATTATTATTATTATTATTATTATTATTATTATTATTATTATCATTATTTTTATTATTATCATTATTATTATCATGATTGTTGTTGTTGTTGTTACTATTGTTGCTATCATTACTTTTATTTATTTTTCTCTTGCTGCTATTTTGATTATCATGACTTAATTTATTTTGATTATCTAATCGTCATTACTATTAACCTATTATTATTATTATTGCCATTTGTATTATTATCATTATAGTTTTTGTTGTTGTTGCTGGTCGTAGTTGTACTATTAACATTATTATTATCATTATCAAAATTGTTTTTCTTATAATTATCATTATTATTCTTGTTATTATCATAATCGTCATTCTTCATTATTAATACTGTCACATAATTATCATCATATGATTATAATAATTATTAATGTTATTATTGTTATCATTATTGCTATTGTTATTATTATTACCATTTTTGTTGTTTTTCATTAATTATTATTATCATTATTATTATTGGCATTGTTATCATTATCATCCTTATCATTTCAATTTTCATTATCTTTTTTTTTTTGTTATTGTTGATTTGTTATTTTTATCTTTATTAATATTACTATTCTTGTCGTTGTTGTCATTATTATTGTTATTGTTGTTGTTGTTATTGTACTTGTTATTATCAAAATTATCTTTATTGTTATTGTCATTTTTAATATTATCATTATTGTTATTGTAATTTTTAATATTATCATTATTATTATTGATTTTGGTGTTCTTGTTATTATCAATATTATCTTCATTATAACTATTATTGTTATTAATATTATTTTCAACATCATCATTGGCATTATTATTATCATCAATATTATCAATAATATTATAATTATTCATGCCATTATTATTACTTATATTATTATTATCATAATATTCATTATCTTTACTTTTTTATAATGAAGATAGTAATAATAGTAATAATAATGGTAATGAAGGTAATAATCATAATGATAATAACAATAGCAATAATAATTGTAGTAATGATAATGATCGTGTTAATAATGATGAAATAACAATAATACCAATAATAATGATAATGATAATAAGGATGATAATAGTAATACTAATGACAATAGTAATAATAGAAATGATAATAATATTCAAGATGACAAGGATAATGATGAAAATAATAACAATGCTAATATTTATCATCATGATTAACCTCATTGTTATTATTGTTATCATCATCATCACTTTTATTATTATTATCATTATCATTATTTTTATCACTAGTAGGAGTAGTAGTGGTAGTAGTAGTTGTATCCTTAATAGGTTAGTAATTATCATTAATTTCATTGTTGTTAGAAGTAGTAGTATTCTCTTATTGTTATCATTATCATCATTATGGTTATTATTATTATCCTCATTATCCTTATTATCATTAGTAAAGGAGATTAATAATGCTTTCGCTGTGTTAGTGATGTATAAATTTTGAATTATGAAGATTTATGCAAATGTGTTTGTTTGTGATGAGTATAAATTTTCTTATGTATATATATATATATATATATATATATATATATATATATATATATATATATATATATATATATATATATATATATATACATATATATATATGTGTGTGTGTGTGTGTGTGTGTGTGTGTGTGTGTGTGTGTGTGTGTGTGTGTGGTGTGTGTGTGTGTGTGTGTGTGTGTGTGTGTGTGTGTGTGTGTGTGTGTGTGTGTATATATTTCTAAATGATTATATAATTTGAATTTTGTTTAACTACTGTAAAAAGTTTTGATATTTCAAATTGTGCACATCTCGATGTTCCTTTGTAAACACAAATGCATTGTGGGAGCGATGTAGCCGCCAAGAAAGGAATTTTTGTTTGGAGTCTTC